CCATTCGCCAAGGTATAGGATAGTTCTAGAAAGCAGGTGGCGTGAGAATAGTCACCTGATCTCGCTGACGCAACAATACTTAATAACTTTTATAACACACGATATAAATCACAGCGATTCACACACTTTACTTACGGTGCCCACTGTTCGCTTGACTCAGTTTTCTATCTCTTCAATCTATGCAATCGCGCTGGTTTTTCTCGCCAGGCTTATATACTAAAAAAGAGGGCGCCTCGAACAAATTAGAGTTGCCAGGAAAGTTCGTGATCCTTCGAGAAATTCCAGGGCGCATGCTCCCAGAATTGCGTGACTTCCGCTGTCGTAACAATATTATTTTTAATGTGATCCGAGACTTTTAGACGAGTGTATTAATGTTCGATCTTGTAAGTTATTGATGTCTTTCAACAAAAGCTGTTATAAAGAAATACTAAGCCACTAAAGATAATTCTGGAAATATATGTCGTCATTTAATTAATATTAACATACACTCTCCAACAGTATATCATGAAATGTTTGTTAATATATGCTACAGCTGCACAGCATTATAGTTAATTGCTTTTCATTTTGCCGCCCCCAGTGGCACAGCAGTATGTCTGCGGACTTGTGCCGCTAGAAACCGGGTTTCGATACTCGTGATGGGCGGAGCACAAATAGCCTTTTGTGTAGCTTTGTGCTTAATAACAAACAACAACTTCATTTTACTGTGTTTCAAAATACGATCATGGATATTTTGTTTGTGTCCACAATGATATCATAGCAAATGAATTCATTTGGAAATTTAATAAAACATTATTTTTATACAACCACATTTGAAATTTTGTATGTAAAATTGATATTGGATTTTATTAAATCATGGCAGTTCAAATATTTTTCTCTCTCACCTAGTGGTCTATACTAGAATTAAGGTTGAATAATCAAGCATCTTGGTTGTGTGAAATGTGATTGATTTTTAAATACGCAATAAATGTTTATAAGAGTAATAAGAAGGTTTAAAAGTAAAAATGGCTAGAAATGAGGAAAAACATTTTGCCAGGCTTAATCGTTTACTTTTAGAACGTGAAAACGAAGGTGAATTTTAACTGTTTTAGGCCTAAACCTTTATTTATGTTTTTGCTTGAGCATTATCAATATCAGTCACACTTGGGAAGTTTCAATTGTTTAATAACTAGAAAGAGACTAACATAAACTGACAAAAAAATTTATGAATTTGTTAACCTCATGTTGGGCTTTGGATATGCTTTTGTCTGTTTTTAGATGTGTTAAAAAAGAAATAATGGAATCCTAGACTTGAATATTGGACAAATGAACTCGGACAAACAGACCTTCCGACTATACAACAGTCCTCCCATAAGTTGGGTTATTCCCAACCAATTCTATAAAAGTGGTATTGACACCTCCCTTTAAGTTTTGTAAAATATTTAAACAACATTTTCAAAGATTTGAATTTAAATTTTTTTATGTTTATGTGAATTGCTATGTGTTGCAGCATGAGTTTTAAAGTAATTTGGTTTTGGAATTAATTACAGTTATACCACACTGAACATTACTAGAAATAGTCACAATTTTTTTTTACTGATACATACATAGATACATATACACAAGCTACATCCATTATAGTAAAATTTGTAATATGTAATATTGTCAGTTGTAATAATATTATCAACTGTAGTAATATGTAACATTGTAAATTGTGGTAGTATGTAACATTGTTAATTGCGGTAATATGTAACATTGTTAATTGCGGTAATATGTAACATTGTTAATTGCAGTAATATGTAATATTGTCAACTGTAGTAATATGTAATATTGTCAACTATGGTAATATGTAATATTATCAACTATAGTAATATGTAGTATT